GCTGATTTTTGATTTATTGTAGAGATGAGGTCTCGCCAAGTTGCCCAGGCGGGTCTCGAACCCGCGGGCTCAGGCAATCCACTCACCTCAGCCTCCCAAAGACACGGGATTACAGCTGAGCCACCGAGCCCGGCTTCCTTGTGGGTTTTTAAACAGGTGAGTGGCAACCAAAAAAGTTGGTTGCTTTTTTTTGAGTTGGAGTCTCACTCTGTCACCCAGGCTGGAGTGCAATGGCACACTCACGGCCACCACAGCCTTGACCTGCTGGGCTCAGAACAGGCACGTGACACCATGCCCTGCTAATTTTTTGACTTACTGTAGAGGTGAGGTCTCACCAAGTTACCCAGACTGGCCTCGAGTTCCTGGGCTCAGGCAGTCCTCTCACCTCGGCCTCCCAAAGTGCTAGGATAACAGGTGTGAGCCACCCTGCCCGGCCTGACTGATGTTTTAAAACAGTGGTTCCCAACTAAGGGGAAGGCATGGTGAGTTGTTTTGTTTGAGTCGGGGTCTCACTCTGTTGCCCAGTGTGGAGTGCAATGGCATAATCATGACCCGCTGCAGCCTCGACCTCCTGGGTTCAGGTGATCCTTCCACTTCTGCCTCCTGAGCAGCTGGGACTACAGGCCTGTGCACCACGCCTGGCTAATTTTGATTTCTTTTAGAGATGAGGTCTCGCTGTGTGGCCCAGGCTGGTCTCGAACTCCTGGGCTCCAGCGATCCTCCCACCTCGACCTCCCAAAGTGCCGGGATGACAGGTGTGAGCCACTGCATCTGGCCTCTGGTGAGGCTTTTGACTGACAGCTGGAAAGGTGCTCTGATGCCCAGAGGGCCGAACCTGAGGATGTGCCCAGCATCCCACAGTGTGCAGGGTAGGCCAGCAGCAGGGGACGATCTGGCCCAAACAGCAACAAGCACCGAGTGTGAGGCAACTTTGTGTTTTAAAAAGAGAGTCCTGCTGCAGAGGAACGGACCGTGACCTGGAGAAGGGAACATGACGTTGTTTTCCGGGGACAGAACTGCAGGGCGGGGGATGGCCGTGTCTGTGATGAGGCCCGGAAGCGCAGCTTTGGAAAGCCCCCTTCCGTCCCCTTGGTTTCATCCACCTGAGTTCCTGATGTGCTCGCTCCTCAGAACTTCTCACCGGTGCCCAGCTCAGTTCCTGGGCTTTCCACCACTCCCTCCTTCCGACTTCAATCTCTCTTCTTCCTCCACTGGTCAGATGGAAGTATATTCCACTCAAGCTGGCCCCGCCTCCTATGGATTAAGGTCGTTTTCTCCGAATGTGACGTGAGTCTTCTGGAAAGGCCAGAAGGTCCTGTTAGTAGAAGTAGGGAAAAGCATGGCTTACAGTCCTGCACAGACGCAAGGCACTTAGGTTCTGGAGTCAAGTCACTTAACTTCAGCTTGGGCCCCGGCCCTGCCGTTTACAGGCTGTGTGGCCTCGGAAAAATGAGTAACCTCTCTGATCTCATAGAGAGGGGGGTGTCGGTTCCCTGTGCCCACCCGGCCCTGTGGCCGACTCCTCCGGCTCCTGTGCTCCCTCCCTGCGGTGCTCTGAGGCACCGTCCCCTTCAGGCCCTTGGAATAATTCCGTCTCTTCCTTCCTCCACCGTCACAAGTTTTCTGTCTGCTGTCACTCCCCAGAGCTTGGCTTCTCACATGCCAGGTGACCCCTGGCTAATTTAGGAAGTGGACTGATGGGAACAGGCAGCGGGTGTGTCTGTGGGCAGGGCCCAGCCTGCCCAAACCAGAGCCCGTGTCATGGTCTGGTGCCACTGGGTGGTGCCAATGACCACCATGGGGGACCTCCTGAGGGGGCCGAGGGGGACTGCCCATGTCGGGTCATGGGGGACAGTCATGGGGCCATCACCGGGTGGCACTGGCAGGGCTGCTGAGTGCCCTGTGTGGCTCGGGCAGTGGCTGGGTGCGGTGCCAGCTACCGGGGCTGAGTATTTGCTTGCTGCCTGTCCTGAAGGCTGCTGGCTGAGAAGGCAAGGGAGCCAGAGCTGTGGACGAGGCCTGGGGCACTTCCTTCTGGGACTCCTTTGCTGGATGACAGCTCAGCCCAAGTCCTGCTATTCCTTGGGACACCCGGAAAACTGAGTTTGTCCCCTCGGGTGGGCTTCCCGGGTGGCAGGCTGGTCCCAGCCAGTGTGGAGGACCCTTGCCCTCACTGGGAGATAGTGGGAGTAGGCATTGGTGGCTTAACCCCTCCCCAAGTCGCACCCGTTGTGTGCTTGCAGGCCATGGTCAGTGCAGCTGTGGGGACTGCCTGTGCGACTCTGACTGGACTGGTTTCTACTGCAACTGCACCACGCGCACCGACACCTGCATGTCCAGCAATGGGCTGCTGTGCAGTGGCCGTGGCAAGTGTGAGTGTGGCAGCTGCGTCTGCGTCCAGCCGGGCTCCTACGGGGACACCTGCGAGAAGTGTCCCACCTGCCCCGATGCTTGCACCTTCAAGAAGTGAGTGGGTGACTTGGGGAGCCCTGGGAGGTTTGCGAGGAGCCCAGGCCCTGAACCCAGCGCTGCAGGTCTGTGTCTTGCCTGCCAGAGCCTCAGCGGGGGCGTCCGCTGCCGCCCGTGGCAACCTCTCCTGTCAGAAAATCCAGGGGACCTTGGAGAGGAGCCAGCAGGGCGGCATCCCGACTCCCCCCGAGGCTAGAGGGAGGCTAGAACAGGGTCCTTCCATGGAACATTCCAGTGCCCACGTTCTGACTCCGTGGGAGGCGTGGGGCTGCAGTTACGGGGACACTGGGAAGCCAGTGCAAACCTCACTCCTCTGGGAACAGAGGCAGCCCCTGTCAGCCCAAGTCCACAGCACTGCCTTTCGTCTTACTGCTTTAAGCGGGTTCACAGGTGTTCAGATTGTGCAGCCGTCCAGGGCCCTGTGCTCAGAAGGACCTCACGCTTGTTTTAACGCTTTGCTATCACTGTGAAATTCTTGGTATCTTTTTTTTTAATTTCAGGGAAAGGTCTCTGTCACTTGGGCTGGAGTGCAGTGGCATGATCCCACTCATGGCAGTCTTTTCCTCCTGAGCTCAAGTGACCCTTCCATCTCAGTCTCCCGAGTTGCTGGGACTATAGGCGTGCACCACCGTGTCTGGCTAATTTTTTGATTTTTGTGGAGACGTGGTCTTGCTGTGTTGCCCAGGCTGGCCTCAAACTCCCTGGCTCAAGCAGTCCTCCCACCTCGGCCTCCCAAAGTGCTGGGGAAGCCCATCCTGCCTGGCCACGTTCTTAGTGATTTTGAACACGGGACCTGCTATGTGTGGCCCCGGGCCCCGAATTGCATGACGGGTTCTGACTTCAACATTCCCAGAAGGGGCATAGGGGCCACACCGTCCTTCCTCAGCCCTGGATAGGACAGGGAAGGGGCTCCAACTGCTGGTCCTCCTGTGGGTGAGGGGTCCTATGGTCCCTGAACCCCACACTTGACCCCACACTTGACTGACGATTGCTTGTACTGATTTGTGTGTGTGTTTGTGACCTGAGGTAGAGCAGCTTGCTGGGGGCATGAAGGTCAGAGCCTTCTTCCGGGCTGTCCTGAGCCTTCAGTGCCATGTCCTTGCTCCTTTAGGGAATGTGTGGAGTGTAAGAAGTTCGACCGGGGAGTCCTGCATGAGGAAGATACCTGTAGCCGTTACTGCCGCGATGAGATTGAGTCAGTGAAGGAGCTTAGTAAGTTCAGCACGTCTGGGAGTCACACACTCCTGGGCTCGCGACGTTTCTGACCCAGTCCCAGAACTGATCCCCCACCCATCTGCAAAATGGAAGGTGCTCCTGGGCACCAGATGGACATGGGCGTCCCTGGGGGTGTCCGCACCCCTGCTCATAAGTGCAGAAACCTCATTCTGCTTCCCCGAGCCCACAGACTTGGCAAGAGCCTGCAAAGAACTTTTTTTGTTTGTTTGTTTTTGTTTTAGAGACAGGGTCTCACTCTGTCCCGTAGGCTAGAGTGCAGTGGCCTGATCATAGCTCACTGCAGCCTTGAACTCCTGGGCTCAGGCGATCCTCCTGCCTTGGCTTCCCAAAGTGCCAGGACTACAGGTGTGCCCCACCGTGCCTGGCTAATTTTTAATTTTTTTGTTTGTAGAGATAGGGTCTTGTTGTGCTGCCCAGGCTGGTCTCAAAGGCAGGCCAAAACTTTGCCTCCACAATGATCATTTGTTTACCTAACCCTGAATTGAACCCCACAACCTTAAAATGAAAGAAAAATAAATAAAAATTTTAAACAAAGAGAAAAAAATGCAGGGTCCTTCTTGTCACGTACTTTCCCAGAAGCCCTGTGATGAGGGGCCTTGGAATGGTCCCGTCTTCCAGCAATTGACCCATGTTTTATTTCTCCATCTGCTCCTCCCCAGAGGACACTGGCAAGGATGCAGTGAACTGCACCTACAAGAATGAGGATGACTGTGTCGTCAGATTCCAGTACTATGAAGACTCCAGTGGCAAGTCCATCCTGTACGTGGAGGAAGAGCCTGGTGAGTGAACCCCCAGGGCCCCTGGCCTCGCATGAAGCTGTGGGGAACCCAACACTTTTCTTTCGACCGATGCCAGGAATGCCATGACGAGAACAGCGGGAATAACAACCGTGTCAGGCAGGACTTTCTATGCATCGCCCCTGCTAGACAGAACAGGCGAGGCCTGGCCTTCTAAGCGATACGTTAAGGTCTGTCGATGGGGTTGGGGGGTGATAAACACACACCTTAGCAAGAAAGTGACTTGCTGACCCAGGAGACAGAAAAATCAGAAAGTAGGTTGGGAGGAGAAGAAGGGAAGGCTGCATCTCGTCCGTGAACAAAATACGTCATGGCGTGTTTTCCAGGCGATGACGTCAAGGAGTTCTAGGACTTTATAGCAGCTGGTGTCTGCTCTGCTGACATGGTTGTCAAAAGCAAACTGCCTCATGCTTCAGAGGAAGGCCTGATGGTCCAGGTGGTGGCCTCGCCAGGGTTACCGCGGGATGCAGGGATTGGCTTGAGGCACTACTGCCCCGAACACTGAAAAAACCTGGCCCTCCACAGGCTGGTCACCGCTCAATACTGTAGATGGCTGGCCTCCCCTCAACACCTTCATGGCCCTCCTTCCCCTTAAATGACAGATTAAGATATGATTCCTTACGTAACTTTTTTTTCCAGTCAGGGTCTCATTCTATCGCCCAGGCTGGAGTGCAGTGGCATGATCACTGCTCACCACAGCCTCAACCTCCTAGGCTCAAGGCGATTCTTCCACCTCAGCCTCCTGAGTAGCTGGTACTACAGGCTCACACCACCATGCCCAGATAACTTTTTGAGTTTTTGTAGACACGAGGTCTTGCTCTGTAGCCCAGGCTTGTCTCTAACTCCTGGGATCAAGTGATCCTCCTGTCTTGGCCTCCCAAAGTCCTGGGATTGCAGGCATGAGCTACTGCGCCTGACCAAGAAACATTTTCGAATCCTCCCTGCCTGTAGAGCCCTTCCTCCACGTTGGGAGATTGGACCCCAGATCACAGACCCACAGTTTTTATCTTGTTGCCCTGGAATTCCGGTCTCTGCCTCTCCCCTCACCCTGCAACCCCAGCCATTTCCAGGGGTCTGACTTTGAGTCAAATGGGGCAGTGGGGTGCCAGGCACAGGGGGACAGCGCTCCCTAACTCTTCCTGACTCATGCTCTTCCCCTTGAAGAGCTGAGCCACCGCAGGGCAGTAAGAGGAGCATCGCCAAACAGCGTGGTGTTGGCCAAGGGCAGTGGAGCTGCATGGCGTGGGAGCCTGAGCTGGGCTCTTGCCACCGAGGGATGGGCCTGCTGGATAAAATGCAATCTGTCCCATGCAGCACTGGGGACACACTTGGAATGAAAAGGAATTCATTGTTTCTCTGACATTCCTATTTGTCTTGGCTTCCTTTTGCTGCCAGCCCAACGCAGACGCCCCTGACTGTGGGGTCACCCACCACAGGTGCACTGCTGTGGCTGGCAGTGCCCTCGGAGACCACCTGATCTGTCTTCTGCCTCTGGGAAACCCACCATCCACTCCTTTCAGGACAGAGGGTAACAGATGGCTTCCCCTGAAGCCCTCCTGACTCTCTGCCTGCCCTGCGAAAACTGGCGTGTCCAGTACAGGAGATTTCTCTTTGAGCTTGAGGGTTGGCCTACCCTGATCTCCCAAAGAGTTCATCCCTGTGTTTCCGGGAGCAGGAACCCTTCTCTCCCGGGAACTCAATCGCTGGAACCTCATGGCCTCTCTCCAGGCGCTCCTTGAATTACAGACAGGTTGTCATTTGGGGGGTTGGGGATGGCCAGCAGGGGTTTGTGGTGGTGGTTGTTTTTCGTGCTGTGTGTGGTGAGCCGAGGGTTAGAGGAGAAGGTGGGGCAGTGTGGAAAGTGGGCGTGGCTTTCCCTCCAGACTCCTCCATACCCACATGTACCAACACCTGGTTTCCCAACACTGGTGTTTCCTGGAGTGAGGTCATTGCTCAGACGCCCGAGGCTGACAATGCGAAGTAGAGAAGCCTACTCAGCCCGGCCCTCGGAGGGGTGGCATGCCTCTGTCTGTGGTGGTTGTCAGCGGGGGCTGAACAGGAAGCCAGCTTTCGATAGGGTTATGATTTCAGATGACTAAATGTTTTGGGAAAGAACCCAAAATATTGTTTTGGCCGGCAGCCTCCTGGCCTCTAAGGATGCCAGAAGGGCCGTTGAGTTCACAGCCCTCAGGAACGTAAACATCTGAATTGGGTAACAGGCGAATGCCACCAGGGGTCAAGTAGGCAACCGAGTTAAGGAAGCAGCTGGGTATAAGAAGGACTGCTGGTACAGTGGTAGCTGGTATTTACTGAACCAATATTCGGTGTCAGGCCACTCCTCTGAGTTCTTTACATTCATTTGACTTAATTATTTCTCACAAGTTTTTTTTTTTTTTCCCAAAGAGATTACTCTTATTTTCTGGTTCACTTTTTATTATTATTATTTTTGTTTCAGTAGCTTTAGGGGGTACACATCGTTTGGGGTTGCACTGTAGAATTCTGGGTTTCAAGTGAACCCACCACCTCCACCTGTGCACACTGTACCCAATAGGTGATTTTTTTATCCCTCCACCCCTTCCCACCCTGAGTCTCCAGTGTCCATAGGACCCTTTTTTGTGCCTTTGCTGATCCTTATTTCAGCTCTCACGTGGACGTGAGAACACGTGTTTGGTTTTCTGTTCCTGCGTTAGTTCACTTAGGATGATGTTCTCCAGTTCCATCAAGTTGCTGCAAAAGACATGACTTCCTCTTTTTTTTGATGGCTAAACAGCATTCCATGGTGCACAGACACCACATTTGCATTATTCACTGATCGGTTGATGGACATTGAGGTCTCACAACGAGTTTTTAAAGCCAGTGCTATCACGTTCTTCGTTTTAAAGATGCAGAAACAGGAAACGCACTTAGAAGGGTTAATTGTACCAAAGGTCACATAGCAGAGTGAAGTCCTGAGCCAGGATTCAGACCCAGGCAGTCAAGAATTCAAGTCCTGCCAGGATTCAGACCCAGAGAGTCAAGGATGCAAGTCAAGCCAGGATTCAAACTTAGGCAGTTGTAGATCCAAGTAAGCCAGGATTCAGACCCAGAGGATCAAGAATTCAAGTCCTGCCAGGATTCAAACCCAGGCAGTCTGACTCCGAAGTCCCCAGGAGCACAGAAACAATCACAAGTCACTCTTTTCCTCCCTTTAGGAAAGAGAAGGGAGAGGCGTAAGAATTCTGGACACTAGAAAGTATGTGTCCCCGCTAACAGGAGCGATTATCCCGCTGTTCTAACTGGCCGCTGCTGTAGCAATGTTGGTTCCAGTCTTTCTAGATCTTTTGCCTTTTATGTAAAGAGAAGAATAATCTGCAATTTTAGGGGGAGGATCTCCGGCTTATTCAGGTATTTAAATAAACACTTGGGTGGACCCATACTCAAGGTGTAGCTGGATTCTGTTGGGTGACCAGGCCTAGGCCTGTGATATGAACCACTTAGGACAGATCATTGCTATCCTAAAACTTGCCCCTTTTTTGGAAAAAAAAAAAAAGAATGAATTTTAAACACCTGTCCTGTTTCCTGCAGAGACCTTTATCGTATTGTCAAGAGCACCTTACTTGTAACCAGTTCTCGTGACTCCGGCTTCACTGACAGCTGCCCTGCCCTGTGCTTCTTCCTGACAGAGTGTCCCAAGGGCCCTGACATCCTGGTGGTCCTGCTGTCTGTCATGGGGGCCATTCTGCTGCTCGGCCTTGCCACCCTGCTCATCTGGAAGCTCCTCATCACCATCCACGACCGGAAAGAGTTTGCCAAATTTGAGGAAGAGCGAGCCAGAGCAAAATGGGACACAGTAAGTGGCCAGGCTGGAGTGGGCGTTTTCTAAACTTGTGGGTTCGAGCCCCAAGGTGGGGTCAGCAGAGGCTCAGGGTGGCCAAGTTCAGCCAGCACTCTCGTACTCCAGTTGTCCTCTGTTCTGGGAGCTAGAGGGTGGTTTGACCATCCCCTTGTCCTTGAGCTTTCTGTAAACCACCGGATCATCTACCACACGGTTACTGGGTGCCCTATCAGTGAGTGCCGACTGGACATAGGTAGGGTCCAGCTCTGCTCTGACACTACAGAAATGAAAAAGAAACTTCATTCTCTCGGCCAGGCATGGCGACTCATGCCTGTAATCCCGGCACTTTGGGAGGCTGAGGTGGGAGTATTGCTTGAGGCCACAAGCCTGAGACCAGTTTAGGCAACAGAGCAAGACCCTATCTCTGTAAACATTTTTAAAAACTGGCCAGGCATGGTGACTCAAGCCTGTAATCTCAGCACTTTGGGAGGCAGAGGTGAGAGGATTGCTTGAGCTTGAGGGTTTGAGACCAACCTGGGCAACTTGGCAAGACCTCGTCTCTACAATAAATTAAAAAAAAAAAAAAAATTGGCCGGGAATTGTAGCACGTGTCTGTAGTTCTGGCTACTTGCAAGGCAGAGACAGAAGGATCACCTGAGCCCAGCAGGTCAACACTGCAGTGGCTGTGAGCATGCTACTGCACTCCAGCCTGGGTGACAGAGTGAGACTCCAACTCAAAAAAAAAATTTTTTAAAAATCAACTGGGTGTGGTCATGCATGCCTGTAGACACAGCTACTTGGGAAGCTGAGGCAGGAGGATCCCTTGATCCCTTTATTTATTTTAATAACATTGTGTAGTGAGCCCGGGAGTTTGAGGCTGCAGTGAGCTAAGATCATGCCACAGGATGAGACCGACTCTGGAAAAAAATTGAGTAAGACAGGGAAAACTTGTCTCCAATTGAGCGGGACCAGACAAACCTATGTTGAGAATATATAATACATGATATGCCAACAAAGCCCAAAGCTTTAAACACAAATAGGAAAGCATATAATAGCTAACAGTGATCAAGGACTCACCACAGCCCCGAACTGTTCTAAATGCCCTTCACCTATTCCCTGATTTCATCCCCATAACAACCCTGTGTGTCAGGCCATAGTGTCATTCCCACTGTCTAGAGAAGGAGACCAAGTGCAGAGAAGTCAAGTAGCGTGCGTGAGTGTGGAGAAGACGTGGGCTGAGCTACTTTCTGGGTCAGCCTCTTGGGGACAGTGGCAGGAGGTCATTCCATCTCATTCTCTCCTTTTCCTTAAATGATCAGACAGTCGCTTCCAAATCAGACTCTGTTTTCATGCCCCTGCCAGTTGTCCTGAGTTAATCCAATTAAACGGGCATTTACGGAGAACCTGCTATTGACTTTATTTTCCTTTGACTCACCTCCTGCACTTTAACCTTTTTCTGGACCTTCCAAATGGCTGTTGGACTCCCTGGATGTCCAGGGTTGGATCAGTTTGCTCCCATCCAATGGTGACCTCGGGGCTTTGTCCCAAGGGCCCAAGAAACTGAGATGCTCCTGTAAGGACAACATAGAACACCCTGAAGCTCTGAGGCCCATGAGCACGCACTGTGTTTCCTGAAGCCGCCATGAAGGACGTCTGTGGGATTTGTTGCTTTCTGTTGGAAAATGGTTTGGAGAATCGAGTGAGGCTCTCGGCTTTTCCTGATGACCTGACAGTTTTGTGGGTGGTGCTTAGAGAGTCCTCTGTGCCCTCTGTGTCCTGGTGTCCTCTGTGCCCTCTATGTCCTCTGGGTCCTCTGTGTCCTCTGTGTCCTATGTCCTCTGTGTCCTATGTCCTCTGGGTCCTCTGTGTCCTCTGGGTCTTCTGTGTCCTGTGTCCTCTGTGTCCTATGTCCTCTGTGCCTTCCGTGTTCTATGTCCTCTGTGTCCTGTGTCTTCTGTGTCTTCCGTGTCCTGTGTCCTCTGTGTCCTGTGTCCTCTGTGTCCTGTGTCCTCTGTGTCTTCTGTGTCCTGTGTCCTCTGTGTTCTCTGGGTCTTGTGTCCTCTGTGTCCTCTGAGTTCTGTGTCCTCTGTGTTTTCTGGGTCCTGTGTCCTCTGGGTCCTCTGGGTCCTATGTCCTCTGTGTCCTCTGGGTCCTGTGTCCTCTGTGTCCTCTGGGTCCTGTGTCCTCTGTGTCCTCTGGGTCCTGTGTCCTCTGTGTCCTCTGGGTCCTGTGTCCTCTGTGTCCTATGTCCTCTGGGTCTTCTGTGTCCTCTGTGTCCCCTCTGTTTTCTGTGTCCTGTGTTCTCTGTGTCCTCTAGGTCCTGTGTCCTCTGTGTCCTCTGTGTCCTGTATCCTCTGGGTCCTCTGGATCCTCTGGGTCCTGGTCCTCTGTGTCCTCTATTTACTGACCACCTCCTGCTGCATTTCCGTCTCCTGCTCACAGCCCCCACCACTGTCACATGACTATAGGCACATTACAGCACACCAAGCTAATTTTTTAATTTTTGTGAATGTGAGGTCTCACTCTGTTGTCCAGGCTGGTCTCAAACTCCTGGGCTCAAGACATCCTCCTGCCTCAGCCTCCCAAAGTGCTGGGATTACAGGCATGAACCACTGCGCCTGGCCTCAGATGAAATCTAAACATTCAGGGCAGGAAAGAACTGAGAGGTTTGCCGTAAGACGCTTTTCTGCTCTCTCTGCAGGCCAACAACCCACTGTACAAAGAGGCCACGTCTACCTTCACCAATATCACCTACCGAGGCACTTAGTGAGCAAGCAGTAATCCTGAGATCGTTACCAGACTGTGCTGGGATTCTGAGAGTCTCTGATGTCATGTTTACAGAGGACGGTGTTTGCCGACCCGGACTTGGGGCTTGGCGTGGGGAGGGATTGGGAGAACATCCGTCAGTCTGCACTGGTATGGGTGTCTGTGCACTCGTGTGTGTGTGTGTGTGTATGTGTGTGTGTTGCGTGTGTGTGTGTGTGTGTGTGTGTGTGTGTTGCATGTGGGGGATGTGTAATTTAAAGCTTGCTACTGTCCCGATCAGCTGAGCCCTCGGCTTTTGTCCCCGGAATGCCTCCGGCAGGGATTGTTCCTGCTCAGCTCAGGGGTGACCCTGGGGCCGGGCAGGTGTTCATTACCTCAGTGAGAAGCCAGCTCTCCCACCAGCCCATTCTCCCCAGAGTGAAGGACAGGCCGAGGTCTCTCACTCCAGAGGAAGGGACGCCAGGCCTCAGCTCTTCCTGGAGTGGAACGGGTTGTCATTTCTGGGCCTGACGTCAGCAGCCGTGTCAGGGCTCCTGGCTTCGTGGCCCTGGGGTGTCCCTGGTGCCTCTGACTTTCTTCCCTTTCCTAGGGCTGAAGGAGGAGTCAGGGAGCCCTGAATGTCCTCCACCACCTCGGCCACGGCGATGGTCCTCTCACAGGGGGAGCCATGGCACCCTAATTCTTCAGCCTGTTGGGAGTGAGTGTGGCAGGGCCACCCAGGATCACACGCAGCCTGGGGTGTGTACCAGCAGCATCCCCCAGTTCATCACCGCCACCCTCCAGATTTGCCTTGTTAGCCTCTGTCCCCTGGAGCTTTACTAAGAGCATGTGTGTCCCCCTCAGCCCAGCTCCAGCTTGTCACTCCACGCTGCACTCCCCTCACTGCCATAGGTGTTTGCTGCATCCCGAGGGGTTGTCACCACCAGATGCTTTCTTCCCAGGGAGAGCACCACAGTTCGAGCCCCAGATCTGGTCCCGCCCCTGCCCCTCAGGCCGTCTGCCCCTTGTCCAAGGCCCCTCTGCATATCTAACCCCTGTCCCATGGGCGACATCCACCCAGGGGGCTGGTGCATTGATCTTCTACCTCCTGGGTGTCGTGGGAAGGAATCTTGTCCGTGCCCTGCTGGGCCTGAGCACCGGGGTAGACCGATGGGCCTGTGGCATCAGCCTGTGTGACCTGTTTGTTCTGTGGGTGGGACAACCTCATGTGAACTTAACTTTTTTTTGAGTTGAGTCCTCCCTCTGTTGCCCAGGTTAGAGTGCAGTGGCGGGATCATGGCTCACCATGGCCTTGACCTCCTGGGATCAGGCGAACCTTCCATCTCAGCCTCCTGAGTTGCCGGTGTGTCACCACGTGCCCAGCTAATTTTCTGATTTATTGTAGCGATGAGGTCTCTGTTGCTCAGGCTTGTCTCAGACTCCTGGGTTTGAGTAATCCTCCTGCTTCGGCCCCCAAAGTGCTGGGATGACAGGTGTGAGCCACTGTGCCTGACCTTGACATGCCAATTTTGAAGGTTTCTTTTTTTTAATGTAAAATTTTGAAGATGTGGGGTACAATTCAGGGTTAGGTCTACAAATGGTCATTCTGCAGGTGCCCTTGTGGATGAGGTGTGCCCCCCACTCCCCTGGCAGTTTCCCACTTCTGCCAAGCCCACCCGTCACACCCCGCCCCAGCCGTTGAAGGTGACTTTCAGTGTCAACATTCCAAGATGCCAGGACCTACACCGTGGCATCAAATACATAGTTGCGAGTCTGTGGGCTGATGATACTGGTGGTCCTCTTAGTCGGGAGATCTGAGAGGACTGGCTTTGGCGAGAGCAGGTGTCTCGTGGCCTTTCTCTGCGAGCCTCCCCTCCCCTCCCCTCCCCTCCCCTCTCCATCCCTTTCCCCTGCTTTTGTTAATAGTCACACCCCCTGGCCTTGCACTTGAACCCCATTTATTTATCACTCATGACTTCACTTCACATGCACTTGCACCCACATGCTGGGGAAGAGGAATCCATACAAAGAAGCCGAAATGTCTACTCTGTGTTCCTGTGTTAACATTGTGAATAAACACTGGCATTAGGAATGGGCCATGACTGACTGTCTCACCCATTCCCTGACTGCAGGGAATGGGAATGTGGGGAAGGGGGAGGGATGACCACGGACCCTAGAAGTTTTGACCCTAATTGTAACCTTCACCTACTGAGACAGAGTTCATGAGAGTGTTGAGGTGACATTTTCTCGAGGTACGATGGCTTATGTGAAGAAACTATATCAAAGGGGGAAGAAAATGCATTTACAGGGTGAATAAAGTCAGTGGGATTTTCTTCTGAGCTCCTGGAGTGAAGTTCAGAGGCCCTGAAAACAAGCAGTCTGTCAGCCTATGGGGATAACCGCCAACTGTGTTCACGAGATGGCAAACACGGTCAGCTTTGGCCTGTGGGTGAATGACTAAATGGCCTTTGGCGTAGGCAACACAGTGCAGAGGGATTGTGCTCAGTTCTTCTGGAGATAATTTATGTCCAAAAGTTTCAGGATCTGTGGGGCAGCAACAGGAAACTTTGAGCCCTCCTGACATGTGGCCATGTTCGGAGTCAGTTCTTGACCTCTCAGATGTGCTGAGGCCGTCCATGATTTCAAGACTCTTCCCTTTGTTATGTATTCCTGGTTGAAATTACTTAAGTGCCTTCTTGATTCCTCACCACCTTCTCTGTTTGAGTTGTGCAACAGTGAATTAAATGTACTTTCCAGAAAGAATTGGCTGAAGGCTGTCCAGTGCTTTGCTGTGTGATTTGTTTCCTTTGGCTGAAAAGAGCCTCACAGATGATTATTTTAGAACAAACATGTTTCCGAATGTAACAGAGCAGTGACCGCCATGGGTCCTGAAGCTAGCTACCTCCCAGAACTTCTCTTTAGACTTGATAACGTTGTCAGAATGAGTAGATTATTGCTGTTCTAAGAGTTGGACGATTTTTTTTAAGTTGGGTATTACTTAGGAACTTGGGCAGCCTCAACAGAGCAGACTGCCAGTGTAGCCGAGGTTTTGTTCATAGAAAGCATAAATGGGTGCAATAAAGACTTAATGGCAACTTACTGACAGGATGATTTAAAGGCCTAAATTATATTTAAGGCAGTGAGTGCCAAAGTACAGTCCCAAGACCAGGAACACCAGCATCAGCTGGACACTTGTTAGGAATGAAAGTGGACAGATCTCACTCCAGAACTACAGGATCCGGACACCTGGGGAAGGGCCCTGGGGCCAGTGTCATCCTAAGGCCTCCTGGGGATTCTGATGCACCCTCAAGTTCAAGAACTACCACAGCCATCCTTCATCCTAGAAAAGTCGTTTACAGTAAGTCAGCTCAGACTGCACAGTTAAGAACAATTCCTGGTAGACAGACTCAGAGGATGACATATTCACCCACACAAAATGCGATTCTACTTTTGTTTCATTTTCCAAGTGAAGTGATCTCAGGCTTCTTGGATTCACGCAAGGCCACAAATTCCCATGAAAAACTAAAAGACTAGATCAGAACCCCAGGGGGAGAAAAAAAACACCTAACAAATAGGCACTTAAGAAAACATAATGAGCTTCAAGTAAGAAAATGCTCTTAGAGAATTTATCCACGGGAGATGGGATAAGACATCTTAACTATTAACATTATCATTTTATAGGTTGCCAGAATAAGACTTTTGAGTTTGTTTGTATAAATAACAATAATTATTTTTTTACTTACCAAGATCTGCTACATGGAAGGACTTTAGAATTTGTAGCTTCCTCTTTTGCTATTTAAAATTTATCGAGCACTGACCATGTGGGATTGAAGCACTTTACAGAACCCTCATCACACAATTTCTGTCTTTGAGTCTTAAATTCCTTACATAATGTCCTTTTTCTCTTATTTCTTTCTTTTTTTTCTTTTAGCACAGTACAATGCACGATATCAAGAGGTTACATGAATGTAGACTAAGTCCTTTTATGGTGAAATCTCATGAGAGTCACTGTGTTTTATTTACATATTGGTAACTGGTGACTAAATGTCTGGATGAAAATAGAGAAACTTGTGCAAAAATGGAACGGAAACTGTATGTCAAACCACATAGTAATCCTTTAGCACTAAGCCTTTGGAGTCTGAACTCTACGGTAGCAGAGCCATCTAATGACCACTGGGACCAATTACAAGCAGATGGTCTGGGAATTACAGAGCATTTGGCTTTCACAATGATATGATGGGACAATAATATATGCTCTGCAAATAAGCTATTAAAATATCATTTGTATTTGGGTTTTGTGAGACAATATATTTATGGAGGCATATATTCCCAATTTTATTTTTATTTTATCTATTTTTGAATCAGGGTCTCACTCTGTCGCTGAGGTTGGAGTGCAGTGGCATGACCATGGTGACCGCGTCACAGGCTCAGGTGGTCCTTCCACCTCAACCTCCTGAGTAGCGAGGGCTACAGGTGCACACCACCATACCTGGTTAATTTTTTAGTATTTTGTAGAGATGAGGTCTCTCTGTGTTGCCCAGGTTGGTCTTGACCTCCTGGACTCAAGCAATACTCCCGCCTCAACCTTCCAAAGTGCTGGGATTATAGATATGAGTCACTGCACCTGGCCTATATTCCTAATTTTCATTTGAATAAGACATGCAAGAAGGTATCCTTAGATGCCTGCGAATAGAGTTAAGTAGGTCATTAAATAAAAGCGTACAAATACACTGAATGGGGCTACCTAAGGTTTGTATGTGAAAACTAAGAGGCCAGGAACATGATTACCTGATAGTGTCGTAATGACATCCCTCTAACTCCTTGCATCAAGGAGACAGGCCATCAGTGTGTTTTCTGACAGTACACCAAAGAACACACACAGAAAGCAACATTTAGAAAACCTAAGAGTCCTTTGGCAAAATAACCACTGGAAATCGTTCTTTAGTAGTGTCCCTGAACTGAACTTTGTAAGGAACACTTTCACAATTGATTTCATTACATCTACTATATTAGTTATGTTTTTCACGATGACATGATTCTTTGGAGTGGGCTCCAGGACGAATGTGTAAATATCACTTTAGTGGCCAATGAAACACTTAGTTAAGAAATGGGTCCTATTAAACATGAACTGGATTTAAAAAATGTGGTTCAT